TGTTCCTACTCAATAATTTAAGAAGAGAGTGTTGAAATATTTCAGGCCTCTAAGAAATAGTAGAGGCTCATGAATGTAAAACAGACAATTGCTTGTGTAACATCCCAAGTGTAAAGCATTTGCTGCTGGAGGATCATGCATCTCAGGTGGTGATCTCAGTAGGCAAGATCTCCTTTTTCGAAAAACTAGATAGGAATTATGCATAGTTTCTTGTGACCATTTAGACCAGCACTGTTGCACGTGCAGACGTAACTGCATTTGTAAAAGCACCCCGGACATTGCATTTCAGATGCAGCACTGGGGCTTCTATAAACCAGTTTAAAACACATCGCTATTAAGTAGTGGCAAAGATTTTTTTTTTTAAATCTACTTGGCAGACAGACACACATGCCTCGCCTAACTGCAACTGCAGATGGAACCAGTTGACAGCTTTCCAATAAATGTGACCCTTGGTCAGACTGAAAATAGGTATTTAGTACCATACCTGCATTGTTTTCAGGTGCCAAACACTCCTTGATTTTGAGGAGGTTACTCCTAAGTAAATTATTTGAATGGAGAAGGTAAATGACAAAGTGAATTCCTCCCATGATCCCGACTGCCCTGTCCATGGTTCTGGGCCCCAAGGGAAACTGACACGGTCCTTGTAAAACTTAACTCCAGCTCTTCCTTCTTTAAAGGAGAAAGAATCCCTTTTAAAGTTTGCTTGTGACCCTTTCATATATTCTTGCGGCCCACTTTCGGGTCATGACCCATGGGTTGAAAAATGCTGATCCAGATCATCATACCCTGGGGAATGGGCTTGTTGCATTCTCCTCCAGTGTAGTTTCATTACTGACTTCCAGTCATAAATTTGATCAGAGATTGTAACAGCTGGTGTCTTACGAATATCAATTGTACACGCTATATAAATTTTGGAAGTTAGTGTGTTCTGTGTCTTGCTATGTGGCAGCCAGAAACACATTATTTCCATTTGTATGGTAATGAAGTATTCTTTCAGAAAGGTATGGAAGACAATCAACACGGTTAATATGATTCGACTCAGATCACCTGTTGCTGTAGTTGCCTGTCTTTTAACCATCTTTGTTTGGAAGTGGGGAGTGGCTTTTTAATACAAGTTTGTTTTCTCCCAGCATGAGAACAGGTACTGAAACCATAACCTACAAGTGAGAAAAATGTATGTTGCAGTTTTGGATCCATCCTGTCTAGTCAAAGCTTATTTGGGAAGATAATGCAGTTAACTGGATACTCTGCAAATGTACCCAGTCCTAGCCCCAGCCCTGAACTTTGTTCAGAGCTACTGGAAACGACACCAAGAGGATGTCAGCTGAGATCGCTGTGAGTGCAAGGAAAGCCAAGCAGCCTGAGAAGTTGTAGGCTTGATTACCAAGCCTATCGCATTTAATTAGCAAGTGGGATAGCAAATTGTCTCTTTGGAAAAAAATCATTTTATTATTGAGAATTACCAGTATCAAAAGAAATTGATAGGCTTTCAAAACAGAACTTAAAAATGTGATTCTGACTCGCACAAGAGAATGCTTTTTTCCTCCATCCTAGCTTACAGATTTAAGAACATCCAGCAGCTTGCATTGCAGACTAAAACAGCATTCACATAAAAATAAAATATACCTTTCCTCACGTTGGGATACACCCATCTAGTAGTACATCATAGACTGTTTAAAATTTAAGAATCCATTCCGATTCGTTTAAAACCAAGATTTCTCATATAATAAAATATATGAAAGTAGGGTAACCATTTTAGTCTTTTTCAAGCTATCAACATTGTTTCCAAAAAGGCATCCATCCATTTTTCAAAATATTAATATTAATGCACTGTAATAGTATCTAAATGTTGGAAACAAAATAGCTTCGTCACAGTGGTACTTGTTTCCAGCCCAGGGGTCTGCTACAGCCGTAGGCAGGTTCCGAACCGTGCCAGTCAGCTCTGCGTGGGGCAGTCAGGGGCAACTAAGGGCACTCTGACCTTAACACAGTTTCTGTCTGTGGGTAGATGTAGATATCTGCCAGAGGCTATACTGACAAACACCTTGAATTAGCAAATGCAATTTGAATATTCCTACTTCCAAAACCTGTCTGGACAAAGGTGAATATACCATGCAGTTTTGTATCTTTTGGTGGAATAACCTAAATATTAGCCTTCCCTGACAATTCAGTTACTTGCTAGGGATTATCATTTTCCCCAATTAGGGACAATGTCACTGTTCACCAATTATAGCTGAGATTTGGTTCAGCGTTTCCACTGTATTTGCAACGAAGCCTTCCTCTTTCTGCGAGGAGCGCTGCTGTGCTGGCAAACTGTAAAGGCTTCAGTGTTGGATTCAAGAGCCATCTCAACAGTGTGGGGATGCGGGATTGAGCCTCAGCTCTGGCCCTTTGAAAAAGTTTGCCGCGTTGGCACCCTCTGTGGATGGTATCATGCTCGCCGGCTAGGGTCATGCTTTGGGCGTCCTGGAGCGCTGCTTGGAAGAAACTGGTTTTCCGCAATGCTGCACTGGAATCCTCCTCTCTCCTTGCACAAGGGAAGTGGCTGTCCTGCGGGCTCTTGCTTAAAACTGTACAGTATTTCATACTCAATGGGCCGAGGTGCTGGTGCAGTGATACTTCAGTAGAGAGAACAGAGCTGAGGTGGGACTCATGTATAAAAAGGAGTGCAATGGCTTTCTACCCAGACAGGCTGAACACAGCTTTTTACCTGAAAGGAAACAGTAAGGGAAATAAAGCTCATATTTCATCCAAAAAGAGATCTGCCATATTGGACAGAGAAATCTATCCGATTACAGAGATAAGCAGGAAGAAGCAATGCAGCTGTCAAGTCACCCACTTGTGAGGTGGACATGAAGACTAGTGGATGGGACACAAGAGTGGAGAATAGTTTTGGCCCAGAGTGTCATCAGATACAGGGTTGGTAGGATTCCCCTCCCAAGCAGCAAGGTAACATCCATGTAGGATCTGTGGATGTTGTTAACTGAAGCTAGAAAATGAATATTGCCAAATTTGGTACTTTCTTCCCTTCCTCACATGGCCTTCCAGTCCCGGACATGTGCATTGTAAGGAAAATAAGAAAAAAAAGGAACAATGAGACCACTGTAATGCAACATGTAAGATGCTATTAAAGTAAACACCAAAACTAACATTTGGAGACTAGCAGTTCTCTTCAGCTGATTTATAAAAGATGAGTTGTCTTTAATGAAATCTTGTACTTCTCTGACTGCTAGTAATGCTCTCCGAGGTACAAAAATGAAAATACCACTAAGCTCCTAAATCCCAGATTGAGATTGTTACAGAAACTCTTATAAGAGTGAGGTTGTTGTATTGATTGGCTCGTCAGGGTCTACGTAAGTACAGCGCGTGACTGCAGCGGGACATCTGGATTTGCCTCACTTGGCTCTTACTAAGGGAAGAAATGGCTGCTGGCAGATGAGATCAAATAGCATGACCAATTTATTCTTCTTAGGGTTTGTAGAACTAAATGATTTGTCCCAACTGTGTTGTACATCTGTGTGTGTACATGTGTATATACAAACAACATGTAGCATGACAGCCAACTTCCTAGGATGGCCAACTCAAGAAGCTTGGCAATGTTATAGATTGAACAAATGTAAATCAAATCTAATTTGAATCTGCTTCCCCCCCCACCCCCCTTTGCTTTCTTTCTGGGAAGACTTTGGTTCAAAGTGCACAAAGTGACATAATTTGTAAGTATAAATAATGTACAGGCTGTAACAGCAAGAACAAGGGGAGCATGTGCTCCAAGGCCTAAGTTAGTGGCACCCCGGAGTCAGGAAAAAGTTGTCATTTTCGCATGGCTTTGAAAAACTGCCTAATAAGTGTACTTGGGAGGGGTTGAAGGTTCTCTGCAAGGCCAGTGTGTGAGAAGGCTATTAGATTTCATGGACCAGTGGTCCTATTACCTTGGTCTTGCCATTTTGGAAAGGTGTAACTGAGTATGCAGTAGCTAACAGAGCTAGTTAATACATTTGGCAAGCTACAGGCGTTCCTAGGATATCCTGGAGACTGATGTTTCGCATTTCAGTAGAACAACATGCAGATGCTAGAACTTCAGTACTGAAAAATGTAATTACTCTGAGCATTGCTCGCTGGCTAAAATGTTACTGTGTCCGAATAAGAGCAGTCACTCATTCTGGAGAAACTGCCAAAAGTGCCTTTCTGGACCAAAACCATAACCTTGTCATTTCTGCAAGTGTGTTTGAATGGTCACACCACAGAGGTGATGCTGCCTGTGTTCTGCCTGCCAGGTGTCACTTGATCCCACCACTCCGGCCTAGTAGCTTGAGCAAGGGGACGTGCCAGGAAACCAAGTTTATAACCCTCGTTTGGACTTTGACTTCCTGAAAAACCTCCGGCGAGTCATTTTAACCTTGCTAGGCCTCATTTGACCTACTGATGGAATGCTTTTCTGCTTTTGTGAAGCACTTTGAAGTTCAGGGCTGAAAGTACTGAAGTCATACCAAAATATTAAAATCAATCAATCAACCAACATTTATTCAGAATTTCATATTAAAATTGCTGGTTGCCTTATGCTTTTCTTAGACAAGGAAATATATCATTCCTAGCCATTTTTAAGCTGCTTCCTCTTGTTAGACACGTCTCTGTTCATACATACTACTTTATCTCAGTTACATGCCAGGCCATGACCTTATTCCTCACTGAGGAATCCCTAATAAACTGAAGCAGAGTTTGCTGGTACAACTCATGAAATCCAAGAGGATTAGCATCCAGTTTATTTCCTCTAAAACCACAGAATGATCAGGAAATAACTAAACCCTAAAGTTTTAGGTTTGCAGAAATGATTTCCTCCTAATGCATGTACTTCAGAGGAATTTCAATATCCTGTTATATAAGGGAGAAGCAGGGCCCTATTTTAATTCAGTGGGATGATGCTTCATGGCTCGTTTCATCTTTTACGGGTTTAAAGAGTTCTTCAGAAGGCAAACCATCCGACCAAAAAGTACTGGTGGAGTTTTTTACCTCCTACAGAAACCATTATTTCTCAATAATTTTACTAATCTTCTTTCCGGTGGGATTTGACTGTACTGTATAGATCTATCAATCTCTATATTTATAGATAGATATAGAGAGATCTATCTAGCTAGGAAAAATCAGGTTGTGTATTGAAATCTTAGCTTATGCGCAAACAACAGCTAGGCATCCAAGAAAGCTGATAAGGCAAGAATTCCTGACTACTCCCAGACTGAAATATCACATTGCAGGGCACACACAAGAACCCAGATAAGGAGATGCACAGAAACTAAATGAAAAAATAGTTAGAGCTCAATCCTACCGGTAAGTATGTTGCATGCTTCACTGAAAATCTGAGACTGAGCCCCTGAGCAAATAGATTAGTTTTGAAAATAGGTTGCACATTATAGTGCAGGATTAAATTTAGAATGCTGAGAAATTTAGTTCTACTTATATTGTACGGAAAAGCTTAATTAAGTGACAGTCTGCCTCCTCAGCGTATTCACACAGTAGAAATACATACATTATAGCTAAATAAGTTCTTTTTTTAATGGCATATAAAAATCAATGGCAAGGCTTCCAGTGAAAGATTAGCTAACTTTTTTTAATGCTGGAGAACAGAGGAAAGGATCTTCATTCTAGAAATATCGATTTGTTTCCTCTGTCTGCAAGCCCCCGCAGAGAAATTATAACTAAATCAGTTCTCTCTTTTATATGACACTGAAATCTATAATAAATCTTCGGCTGAACAACTGGATAACGTTTTCTACCTTCATCTCGGGCTTGCTGCTTCTTTTACTCCTTCTTCCATTAACCTTTTTTAAACATGTTGGAATATCAACGTTTCCTCCTGTTCTGGCATGGCTGATGTCAATCAAGGGATTTAAGTCATCTCTTTTAATTCTAATTTAAAATCAGCAAGTAGGAAACATTTTAATCTCGTTTTAGAGTTGTACTTTTGTGTCTGTGGGTGGGTGGGTGGGTGGGTGTGTGTGTGTGGGTGGGTGTGGGTGGTTATTTTCCTAACGAAAAACTGATTCGCTTTGGTATAACTGGGTACTTTCTGCTAATGAAGAGGATATTCTATATGCTATCCTTATACATATTTATTTAAGCAATAACGTAGCTTTTATACATTTATTCAGATTCTTAATTTTAACACTTTTATCGTGTTATAAAACGGTTAATGATACGCTTCATATACACTACCTAATGATTTTTAGCTCGCGGCAGTGGCAAGCTGCGTTTGTATGGAAATTGGAAATGAATTAAAAATGCACAAAATAAAATTACTTTTCTATTATTTAAATAAAATGACCTGAAATGTAGCAGATGAGAAAATAATAAGTTTATCAGAATGTATTTTGTTTTTAAAACCAACCGATTTACTCAACAGAGGACACAGCATCGACAGCTGGCAACACGGACAGCCCGTGATCACTACATTGTTAAGAATCCAGAACGGAGAGATCCTATCCATCTTCCCATGCCTTGTTTTTATCCACAGCCTGGAAGAGTACAACAAGCCTGCCTACTTTTACAGCTCCCAAATCACTTTCTTACCTTTGAACAAATCAGTCACTGAACTGAACTAGAGGACTGAACTGAAGAGCAACCTCTCTCTGAAGCAGCAGAAGAGATTCCTGTTGTCAAGAGCCTGGCTAACAATTCAAAAACTCTGCTTCCAGGTACTTAGCGAGGAACAATGAGTTTAAAACACTTTGGTAGCAATTTTTTTACTGCCTGAATATTTTATTTTTCCTTTTAAAATATTTAAATAAATTACATGAAGCTTAGCCCTTAATACGAGTTACAATAACTTTTGAGTTGGAATATTCAAGTTTTTATTGTTTTTTGGGTTTTTTTAAAGAAAAATATGTGTTTAATTTAAATTCAAACAGGTTGGTTTGTGCGTTTGTTTTAAATAGTCAACACTTATCCACGTCGTCCTGCTCAGTGCAACAGACAACAGGAAGTGGCCATCCAGATGTCACTCGGCAGGACCGGGGGCACTCTGCACAGGGACGTGCTAACCAAAGACCACGCTACGAGCCGTGGATCCTGGATTCAGCGAGTTGCGTCACAGCGTAACTTCCAATCAATACCACTGTCAGTAACTGCGACGTGGGTGACAATCCCACTCGAAATATTTACTTGCACCATCCCCAAAACACTGGTATTAAAAGCTGCCACACTCCTTAGTCAGAACAACTTTTAAAATACGTTATTATTTAAAGCATTGGTTAAGGGAAGATTTCCCAGGGCAGCATATTTTAGCCAAAAAATGAGCTGTAAGCGTACTTTTGCTGTGAAGACGGATCTCTTAGAAATCCTGGCAAAATCGTAGGCGATTCAGATTTTTCATACAGCAATAAAGTTAAATAGCTATGAAGCAGAACAAGCCTCCCACCCTTCTCCTCTACCCAAATAAAACATACGCATTCTTGACTACAATTACAGGCATTGCGTTTCTGCCTTTTGAAGTGGCAGAGCTACTGAACCACCTCTTATCAGATTGAACAGAAATGCTCGCCGGCTTCCAAATTCACCAGCATTAGATTGCAATGGTTCGGCCTTAGGCTGTGCAAAAGTTACTTGCCATACTTTCTGTCAACCAAGTCAGTTTTAGAGGTAAGAGCCTGCCCTGACTGAAGGCATGTTGCTCGACACGCAATTCTGCTAAGAGATCATCCAACCTTCCTTTTGAATCTTACTTTCATCCACTGCTATCAAAATAATTAGCCTGTTTAGCAGGCATCGTCAGATTAAGAGAAAGTGTTTCACTTAATAAATGCATGCTGCAAAATGGGAATTCTTAAAAAAAGATGATGATGATGAAGAAAATTATTTGGTTTCTTTGTCAAAAATCTGGTTTGAATTCATGGCAGCGAAAATGGTTCAAGATTAACCAATGTCCAAGCTTCCTTTTCTTTGTAAACTTGTGCAAGTAACGTACAGGCTTCAATTCTGTACTACTACTCGTTTATGATGATACAGTATGTTGACCTCAGTGATCCCTTGAACACCAACTGTGGAAAACAGAAGTCACTTTTCACCAACAATCCTGGTCCTGAGCCAGATCCTTCAATCTGTTCCTGCTGATAGCCCATAAAATAAGATTGATGCTTTAATCCTTAATGCGTTGTGAAGCCTTCCTTTTGGTCCACCTCTCTTCCGGTCACCTTGCGGCTGCCAAAATAGAACTTGTTTGGAGAGCCTGTTACCCATCCGTTACTTTCATCACCAGAATTCCCCAGAAGACCTTATCAAGTGGGCTGTAGCCTCAGTCAGGCACACAGAACAGGGGATGCGCCAGGCCATGAAGATGAACAAAACGCATACTTGTCTCACCGACCGGTTCCTTATGTAAAATAAACCAAAAATATCAGTAATTTTACCAATGCATGTTAAAATAAAGCATGGTGTCAAATTTAAAAAGGGGTTTAAAAAAAACAACCACCCCAATCTGGGTTTTTACTGTACGCCAGATAACAATGTGCCCAAAGGTTGCCTTTAAAAGGAAGGAAGCACTTAGACTAGAGAAGTATACAAAAAATGAAACTGGGGAAAAAGGACAGTGGGAGGCGACGCTCCCAGTCTGGAGTGCTCGGCCTAGTTAACGTTCTTGCACACCCGGATCAATCCATCACACTTACTATGACCATCTTGCTTGCAGCATCTGAAGCACTGCCCCACGGTATGATTTCAAGGCCAGGATTTTCATGCGTTTTTCCAATAACGATGCACCTCATCTCAATTGTTAATCGAGTCAGCCAACTGCTTTGCTGACTTCAAACAAGGGACTTCCAGCCTATCTTTCAAGACTAACTAAGGGTTAAAAAATAGGAGCTCTTGTTACTTTAAAAATAAAAAAGTTGCCATTTGCATTAAGAAGTCTCTCTCCTTCACAGAGGGCATGATTTTGCAGTGTACAATAAGAACTAGCATTGTATTCACACACAGAACAAAAATGACAACAATGCCCTTTAAGGAGATCGATCACATTATGCTGTGGGTGACAGGAACCCCGAGTAACTTTTACAGAAAGACCTCTTAAGGTTTGTCTTGACTGCAGAGTTAAATCAGGAGCCTTAACTCAAGTACTGTCCATGTGCCGGCTCCCCTCCATATGCAAAAATCCCTAACCAGAGTAGGCTGATGCTTTCAACCAAGGCCTACCCTGGGGTATAAACTAAGGCAGGGTGAGGAATGAACTTGGAAGACTGTAGGACTGACAGATTAATAGCCCAAGGGTTTTTGGTTGTAGCCCTGTTGATCTAAGAACATGGGTAGGTAAGGAGTCTGAGAACAGCAGAAACTCCCAGTGCCTGAAGGTGGGCGACTGTGCCTGAAAGCTTGCTAAGAACTTTTTTCCAACTAGTCAGTTGGTTTAATAAAAGATATCAGATCTCCTCAAAGTCCCTTGCCTGCCACAAGTCTTTCAAAGCTTTTCCACGACGTTCCTACGTGCCCAAAAGGTTCTTCCACAAACCACTGTGAAAGCATCACCGAGTGGCTGCCTGCTGCAGCACGCAACGGGTCACTGCAGTGCCACTGGGAACACCGGGGCAGCATTTTGCAGTGTGGCCAGCCCACCTCCAAGCTAAATCAACCCCCGAGTTCATGAATAACACTACGATTCTACTTTACAGACCAAGCGTTTCCCCATTAGGACAGAGATATGAAAAGCTTAACTGCCATTGTGAAGCTGAGGAGCCTGTAAAAACCTTCTCCGCAAAATTATAACAAATCACATTTGGCTCGTTTACACTTATGCTAGTTTAACATACTGTTGAAGACAAATTATTGCATTTAGCTACCTAGTTACCAGATACACTTCAATACTGCAGCTAATATCCATAATTTGCCACATGATATTATTAGGTTAGACTCCAAATAGCAAGGGTATATTTACCCATTCTCTGCGGTATCTTACTTTTGCCTGCACCTCATAACCTGACCTGAGGAAGAAGGTCTTGCGCCCAAACGCTTGTCTGACTTTATCGTAACTACATAATTGGTCCAATAAAAGTTCATCCTAAGAAATCCTTGCCTCTCGCATCTAACAGCAGCATTAACTCAGCAGTTAATTTGCTACCTGCTGTGATGCACCTTTGACTGTCCCTGGAATTCCTGTGCCTATCAGTGGTTCTCAACCTTCTTTAGACTCCAGGCATGCCTCAGAAAGTGCCAGCTCTTCGTTTTCAACTACAGAGAAATAATACAAGGATTCTTTTGTTGCAAGGAACTCAGACAGACCACAGCAGGTCAGAATGGGTTCTTCTTTCAAACCGTGGGTTTATCTCGTGAACCTTGTCTGCAGGCTTGACAGTACTAAGACGTGGCACCCTTGACAGAATCTCAGGGCACCCTATTTGAGAATCACTTGTCTACACTGCTCACTTCTTCCTTGCCAATTGTACCCATAGATTCTTTTAATCCAAAGCGTAAATCAACAGCACCTCTGAAATATTCACTCTATAAGCAAAGAATAAATTCTTGTTTAAAAATGGGGTTTGGAAGTCACCCCAACGCATTCAGCTATTCCCTGGAGCGTCATCTGGGAGCAGTTTCCATTTCCAGCACAAGGCACCAGGAGTTGGAAAAGATTAATTCAGTACTGGCTCGAACAGCAATTAGCAATCCAGAAGACGAATGACTGTGGTTCTGGTTTCAGTGACGGGTAGCTCCATATCGATCTATTCTGCCAATCTCCCTGCTGCATTTTCCCCTTCCATTGTGCTCAGTATTGAATAAGGAGCTTACTCTTGAATGCAGATTCAGAGAAGAGTTGCTCTTGTTTTCTGAACCCAAACCTAGTGCTCTTAGAACGTATTGATCGAAAACCATCTTTCCATCCTGCGCATAGAATATGCGGCCTTTTAGAAACAGTCAAGGGTGTTTCTTAACATCAGACATCAAAAGACCAAGTAATCTGGAATAATGAGATTGCAGTACCTCCAAAGCTCCAAATCAACCATCTATCACAAAAACTATTAAAACCAGCTGGAGTGGTTTGAGCAATTCAGTTAGACTTCAATAACCTCCACTCAAAGGTCGCTATACAACATTTTAGATTTCTGGTAAAAATTGCCAGCTGAAAAATTCTGCTTTTCAGAGGCATTCAAGCTATGTTGTCATGTATGATTTTCTCCTAAATCATTCCAAATCATGTAAGCATAAATAATCGACTTAATTCAAAAAGCCAATCTGTTAAGAGAAAAGCGTATTTAATTTTAAAACGTCAGTGTTTCCACAGAATGTGAAGGAATAACTTTTGTAAAAGGAAACATATGAATTCAAATCTTTGGTAAAGCAGAGTCAGATGAGAGAGGACACAGACAGAGAGAGACGTTCTGTTAAAAAAGCAAGCAAAGAAAACAAATGTAATTTTTTTAACGAAAATTATTTAGAGGAAACCTGAAACTGGAGCCCCGAGGTCTAATCAAGACTCGTGTTTTAGCTAACTCTTGGCTTAGCTCCTGTAGAAATAAAACATTTTTCTTTGCAATCTAAAGAACTGCTAAATAATTCATTTACAGAATTTTTAACAAGTTTGCTTTATGCCAGTGCCTCCATATCCAGGGATTGCTGGAAGTTCAGTGTCAATTTGAACGAGCACATTTACACCAAAGCATGTCAGCAATACTTTCAGTTATATTTGGCTGACCTCCGGTTGCTCAGCTTTAGCGAGAATAAAATCTCTGTAATCTGTTTCCGCGGTTTGTTCACACTCCCCCACCCCACACACATTACTAAGGAGCTGTCCTGGGAGTATGGATAGGGAGTAACACCTTTGGAAACTCTGTGAATCAGAAGACTGCTGTCTTGGTTGTATGCTCCGACTCCAGCGTAGCAAACCCTGCCCCTCATGCTGCTGGGCCTCTCCTTAACGAACATCCATACAACCGTGTCAGTGACTCCAACGGGTGGGGGGAGAACGGATTGCAGCAACACGGACAAAAAACCCCACAAATTCAAACCCGTGTTGAGCAGCCCTGTAGATGAAGTCGTAAGGGCTCCTTGTTATCATTTTGAGGCTCATTGTAGCTAGGAAAGAACAGAACAATTAAAGAGCGCTGGCAGCGAAATCATTTGCACATATTCATTACAGCATACGCTTAAACAAAGAGATGAGAGGGAGGAAATGAGCACATTCTATGCGAGGGATAAATATAATGTTTATACAGCAAATGATGTGGGAAACAAGATGACATGCCCAAAAAGAAATCTGTAGTAATGCTAACTCTCCATCCTTTGAGAAAGGCTTGCTGGTCCTCCGCCCCGACACCTCCCCCCGTCTACAGGGCCCTGTCACAGCAAACACCAGACGCAAGCAACGGGCCAGCTGATTTCTAGAAGCGCTCTACTCGAGCTCTTCGAGGAATCTCTCAGCCCAGGGACCCAGCCCGCAGAGCCAGGGGGCTCAGGCAGTGTTCACCCGTGCTATGCTGTGGCTGGGCAGCAAAACATCTTTGCGTAGGCCACACTGTGGCTGGGTGGCCGGGTCCTCGCACCCGCAGCCCGAACCGCACCGTTCCGGCCTGCCAGAGAAACGTTGCCGACTGCGGTGTTAGCCCACCACCTGCCTCTCTAAGCTCAACCTTGATTACAGCTAGGTGGAAACAGCAAGCAGGATGCAGAAGGGGCTGAGGGATTCTGAATGTAGCACCAAGGAGGATGCTAACCAAATGAAGTTTGGCCCTGGCCCTCGATGCTTCTCGTGGTGGACTCGACTGCTGTTGGGTGCTAAGGGGAGGAGTTTTTAATATGAATGGCTGCTGGGAATGAGGACAAATCTGAATAGCAATGTAAATATACCCTTATTAACAGCAGACCTCACACTGGCAGCAATTTCCAGAGCTCCTAAAGCAGTGGCTTTAGGAAGCTTTAATGTTAGTGTTAGTGGCTTTAACGTTAGTTCAATAAAATAGTTAAAAGCATTTCTCAATCACTGGCTCTTTCAAAGGCATTTGAAAGAGCTCATATTCACTGGATACTGGACAAAGGAAACACGAACAATCTGGGATATCCTAACTGTGGAATGGAAGCAATCTTTCAAGTCTCATGCTTTTAAACTGTGGCAATCCACTTTTCCATTACAGTTCCTAGTTCCACAACTCTGCCGTCAAAAGGAATTTCCGCAAAAAATTACTTTTCCCTTTCAAAAAATAAATAAATAAAAATCAGCAAAATGTTAGCTTTATGAAGCCACTACTTAGTGCAAGGAAAATCCTATCAACATCAGGACTTCAGCTGGCTTCCTCAGAAGCAGAACCTAACAGAGAGCAGTACATTAGTCTGTTGAACCACTAGACTGGCCCACTGCCAGCTTCCAGAGAAACAGGTAAGTAGAATAATGCCTCTTCTCAGAGGGGCCATACTATCTTCATGCATGCATGTTCCCAGCTGTTGTTTCAGGAGGGTGCGTTCGTTATTTGGCTCACTGTGCAGGCCATCTCTGAATATTGTGCCCTTTCCCATCTGAACTGCCAAACCCTCAATTGTTTACCCCATGTGGAGGTTTCGTACCCACATCAAACACAACAGAAAATTTAAACAAGTCTTATGTACTCAGCTTGAAGCATTGTATCACAAATGCTGTATTCCTTTTCTGAGTTGCTGTATTTCTCATCTTTGTTTCCATCCATCCTTCTTTAGGGAAAGGGAAGGAGTCACAGTTGATGGCTTGCAGCTTGACTTTGTAATGCTTATTAAAACCTCTTTGTGGCCATGGTTGTTTTAGCATACATTTATAAATTCCTATTTCTTAATTTTTAAATAAAATTGACACCCAAGGATTCATCTAGTAGCATATAAGCGATTTCTTTCAATTTAACTCGCTCCTTCCAGCTTCAAGATTTTGTGCAAATGTGTTATTAAAATTCAGAGAATCCTAGGGAGATCATCATCCCTCTCCGAGCTGGAGGAGCTTCAGCAGG